GTTTCCATAGATATGGAAATGCACATATGCATTTGCATATGCATACATTACACATAAATTGCCTTTTTCTCCCTACAAGTATTTTGAGTGTTGAACATAATTTATTCTATTTTACCATTATTATTTTGGAACAAATTCTATACTTTAATTATAACTATCTACAGTTCCATACTTATCTCTAATGTTCAAATCATCCAGTGTTGTGGCAAATAAAAAAAAAAAGGGGGGGATTTTAAACTTAAATCTCACTGCAGAGTTAATTGTGGAGTTGCACAAAAGGTCATATCTAATGCCAAAGTATTTTGATGCATAATTTAATCTCATTCAAAACACGCCTTTTTTTTTTTTTCCTAACTATTTCTTTAGAGAGTGTCTTCAGAATTCTTTATAGCTGTAACATGATTCCCCAGAAACCTTTCCACTCTCATGTCTTGAAGATTTTTAAAACCCCAAAATAATAAAACTTTATCTCTGGCCCACTGAAAGCTAAGACTAGGAAAAAGTAGCACATCTTCTCCATTTAGAAGAGCCAAGGTTCATTGATAATCATTGCTGCAGAGGAAAAACAAAATTAAGGAAAGGTTATAGAAGTTTACCTTCTCACAATAACAAAATTTGATTTTACTTTTCAAAGACAAGAAAAAAAAAATTTTAGCTGTACCACAGACTGCTTAGAAAGCACTATCTTTCAAAGACAGGAAAGAAATTCCAAGTGACATCATTTTTGGCCAAAGCTTAAAGGCTACTGTGAAGGGATACAGCTCTTCCCAATTATTCCCCACATGAAGATCAAAATTAAGGCAAAGGGCCAACTCTTAGAGATACACATCATCCCAAATGTGCTATGTCATTACCTACATACTCACTGCATATGTGAGAAGTACTTTTTTTATCAGTAAAGCCACAAATGCTCCTTAAGTAGAACTGAAGTAGAATTCTTCCCCATTCTCTTTTCCTTAATAATAAAGGCAATCAAAGATCAAAGTGTGGTTTACTCAAAGCAGTGTTAATTCTACTGACAGAACACCGGATCAGCTAAAAACAGTGTTGTGAACCCACGTTGGTTTTTGGAGGGAACACTGAGGGTATACATCCTGCCACCTAGAGTACTAATTTTTATCCAAAGCAGCATAATGGAGTTTTAAAAGCCAGGACACTGTTTTCAGGCCCCTGCCTGTGCAGAGAAGTTACACCCATCAAACATTATTTTTAAACTGGTTCTGACTGCATAAATGCCTAAGCAAAAGCAATTTACATTAACATATTTTATTTTGCAGTTGAAGTGGGCTAGGAATGCACACCCACTCACCTACTATGACTCAGTCATCAAGAGTATCTCTTAAGCTACAATAGCTTGATTACTTGCAATTGCTTGCCGCTACCTGAAAAGAGCTGAACTGATTTTGAACCACCCAATTCCAGTAAGCCCACATATCTGAATTTACCTGTGAAAACCAGTATTAACCAGTTGTATATTTCCACAATGATTCTCCCCCCGATGTAATTACAGCACCTTCATTTATCTTTAAGTGTATGGTTAGACGGCACAACACAACTTTTTGTGAGTCCAAGTGTAAAGGCATGAGCATTAACAAACTAAAAGCATACTTCAAACACACCGTTCTCTCACCTCCCATGTTAAAAAGAAGGCGGCTCTGGTGTAAAATAAGCTGGCTCCACAGGTGGGAAACCAGAGTGACTCCTGCCCGCCATGCAGCCCCACAGGATGGGGCTGATCCGCTCACGCCTGTGGCAGCTCTGAGGGCGCAGCGCGGGGTGCTCATCGACGCCTGCCGCACGTGCCCGCAGGCAGGAGAGCGGCAGCCACGGGGAGGCCACACGAAGCTCCTGTCCTGGTCACTGAGTGGCCAGTCCTGGCATCCTTCCCCAGGACTCAGCTCCACCCAGCTCCCTGTGTCACACTCTTCAGTCAACTCTGTTTCACCTTCAGGGACTTGCTTACGCTCCAAGTAAGAGAGATCCCAGGCCTCCATTTCAGGCCCACACCATTCTCCTACATTTTGGGCGGCTGGCAGTGGGCTGCAGTGTGGGTGTGCTGCCTCAGGCTCTTCCTCTCTACAGAAAGCACCTACTTGTTTACACACCCGCTTCCCAGGGCCTTCCCCCCACATTTCCTCCGAGACCACCCCAAGGAAAAGGGATGGCCTCTGAACAGTTCACCCTATGAGGAAATACCAGCCGATGAGAAAGGCTTTATCAACAAAGACAGGCTTAGCATTGCAAGCGTTGTTAGCAGTATGCAAAATAACTTCATTCTCTCTGGCCTTCTCGTCATTCTCAGTGGAATATTTCAGACACAAGAGCAGGGAGAGAGTAATGCTCAGGTACAGGACTTTAAAGTTATCTTGGAAGAAATCAGGGAGTCACTATAGGGAAAATGAAACTATGCCTGGGAAAAGAGCCTTTTGCAAAAGTAAAGCCAGTGTAACAGAAGTGGAAGGCAGCAGAGACTGGTGGGAAAATATCCATATGATGGAAGTAACAAGTTTGACAGAGCTGGATATTTTTAAAATAAAAAATAAAAAGTTTAAACTACAGAACAAGCATTGTACAAAGCAGAGCTGTTCAAACTTTCCAGTGTTCAGCTCCAGCAACACTATGAAAATAATACCACATCCTTGGCCTTTTCTGCTTAAATAACAAGCTGTAAGCAAGAGCCAAAGATGTCTATCATTTGGAGAGCAAAAAGTAGACTGAGACCACACTCTCACTTTACAGATAGCTACAAAGATTACATGAAGATAGGACTGTAAAGACATATCTTTAAGTCCCTGCCAACCTAATCAAGATGGTATTAACAGTGATCTCACACTCCATCTGCCTGGCTAGTAATTTATGAAAAACGTACTTCACTATTACAGGAAAAATATGTTGCACTGCTTGTGGCCACAAACCTACTGCAGCAGCTCAGGAACTCTTGGATCAGAGGCTGTGAGACCAGTTCTTGACATTTACCAGGTAGTGCCCATGAGATATGTTCATTCATATAGCATTTTTGTTTGTTTGCCCTACTGATGACCTCATCTTCAGACAGATGAAATAGCTGACAAAAAACTCAAAGTCCCTTGCAATTTAGAGCATAACACCATAATGGTTTGCTTTTCATCCTGTGAATTCTACATACTTAATTTTATGGGACTCTTTTTCTGAGTGAAGAATCTACCTATTCTTGCATTGATCATCAATCATCTGTGATTAAATTCCTCCTTTTCCTGACACAAACCAGAAAAACTCATCCAGCTTACCAAAACTGTATTTCTTCCAGTAATATTGCATACCTGTTCCTTTATCTTACATTGCCTAAGAATCAGACCTATGGGGCTTGCCTGCTGCATAAAGAATGTTTTTATTATTTTTGGGGGGTGGGAGTGCGTAATGGTGATGGTGTCGTTCTGCAGAACTGTATGAAATCTTCCAATTTCCAACACCGCAAAGTTCAGGAGCAGCATTCTAATATCAGAATTACATAAAATGACCTCCAAGTATCAAAACAAAACCAAACCCACAAGTATCAACACACTGGAATTAACTGCTAATTACACATTTCTTCGCTTAGCAGAATTACCATTTGGATCATCCTTCCAGTTGCTGCAGCAAAGGTAGACAGGATATGTAATGAAGAATGTGATAAAGCAGGACAAAAAAACCAAGTAGTTTTACAAATACTGCACATTGGGAAAAAGTATCTAGGAAACTACTAAATGCTATAAATGAGGTGTATACTCAGAGTAATAACTAAGGAACCATGGCCTAGAATCTAGTCAATTCCTACTCATATGAACACCTTAAAGGCATCACCACTTTTTACACTGACTAGCAACAAGGCAAAATGATCCTTTAATGTTATTAGAAGGCTTGCATGCTCAGTATCATTTGCAAGACTTGTGTCACAATAAGAATATGCAGAGTTTTCCTCCTCTATCTGTGGGACAAGATGTGGGCTTAGAGCACCAGATTATTTTCTGACCAAATAAAATACCCAAATTACCTCATAGACAAAGGCTCAGTCAATCTCAAGAACACTTTTATAAAAAAAAAAAAAAAAAAAAAAGGTCCAATTCAGTCAGTAGCATTTGTTCCATCTTCAGCAATGAAGATGTAGGGAACCCTTTCACATATGCTTTTCTGGCTCCAATACTCCTCTATAAAACTAGACCCTACCATTTATTGCACTGCAGGACACTAATACAATTTTGAAAGATACTGGGTAACTTTTCTGGTGTTACTTTGAAAGGTTATACCTATGATATCCACAACTCATACTAAGGGAGATATTTCGTCCCCTTAGTTTTGCTCCTCAAACACTTTTGTTTCTGCTTGGAAACATTTTTCTACCAATCTTGCTTTGCCAGATGAAACAAAACTACAGATTTGTCTTCTAGAAACATTCTTGGAAAACAAGAAATCAAAATGTCTTCACTTGATCCAACAGATACACACTTTGTAGCTTTGCTAATATATGTAAATTGTTTGATTGCTTGAAATTACTGATTAACCAGGCTGGAGAGCCGATTACCTGATTATCCAAGAGAAAAATAATTTAGCATGATTTTGTTTCATTCGACAGTCTAGATAATTTTCTAATTAATTTGAGTTTTCAAGTGAACTCAGAGATACTATTGAAAAAGAGAACACAGGTCAATGATCTGAATAAAGGTAAGCTTTCCAGGAATTTTCTTCTTACAACAATCATTTGTCAAAAGTTATTCTTAGTTACAAACACAATTAAATGAGAACTTAGACTTCAAAAACAATATTCAAAAAACAACCAATGGTAAATATCTTCAATGCTCTCATAAAGATATCTCGTAGAGATAAAAATAATACAAGATAATCTCATAAAGATCAGTGGTGCACTGGTCTGACACATGGCATCAAATTTGCAGTGTTACCAGTACATTCTGAACTACACATGAAGCAACATGTAGCAGATATTTTGTCAATATGTTGAAAGAATAATAAATACTGGAAATACATACTTGCCACTGAAAAGTTGTTGAGTGGATATGGCAGATCCACATCCTGGGGCTTCTCCTTATAGCCTATGAAAGAGCCATCTGTCTTTAGCAGGAAATATCTTGGCCGCCAGTTTTTTATATATTCTCCTAAAGGAGAAAAAAACATTCATTAGTACTGTAGAAAAAAAACTTAGATATTAAAAATCATAACATATTATTAGTTTCTAACATTAATTATAGCAAAATCTTTTAAGACATTTTCAATTTACACAGGAAACCTTAACTGCCTCCAAAAGTAAAGAAAGTGGAATTGCAATGGTAAGCCTGGACTACATAAAGATGCTTCCTTCTGGAATAAGAAGCTACAAGCACTGTATAGTAATATTGTATAATTGTAAATTTTATCATGCTATACTCTTCAAAATCCTACATCTTTACACCTATAAACAGTTCAAAAATTGCTGCAGGCAAAAATAAGCGCTACAGCTTGACTTTTAATTACAAAATTAAATCTAACCTAGTACAACGTAGAACATTTATCCTGCTGAGCCAAAGCAAAAAAAAAAAAAAACATTAATTTCCTCAAAACATACACTAAGCAAATACAAGAGAGCAAATACAAGAAGGATGGGCATAATGAGAACCTAAACAAAATATACTTAATGATTACATTTGAAAGCAAAAGGAATAAAAAGAAAAAGTAGAAGCCAATTACCTTCTAAAGAGGTAAGTCCACCTATAAACCTACCACCTCCACCTTTCCTCTGCCCCAGTCTGAGCAGAAGATTCTGCAAGCCATGAGGTATTCAGAACCAGAAACATACACATGTCAGCAAAACCACAATAGCTTAATTAATGCCACGAATTTGCTATTTAAGGGTGGAAATCTCTTTAATAGCATTATACTTTACGATGGCACACCAAAATCCCAGAAAAGAAAATCGGTTTTTAAAGTGCAATTCCTTAGTTAATTACAAGTGAGTTTGGATCTGCCCAACTTTCCCCATCTTTGATTTCTATCAACTTTGTAGAGTAATTAACATACATATATGCACTTACTAACACATAAAATAAATCACTGAAGATTTTGAGGAAAAAAAAAAAAGGTTTATTAACAATGCAGAATTTCCAACCATACCTGGGACTCCTCACTGTTTGAAAAATGCTGAGAACTGACCAGGCCAGTGGCTGCACTGGTCGTGGTCTTAGCCCAGCCCTTTAGTGCCATTTGCCACCTCAGCACCCTGCCAGCTGTATCTACATAGCCTTTAGACAATACAAAGGTCAGAAAGAAGTTTACATCCATTTGACTTAAAGATTACTCCATTAAAGGCAAATGTAAAAGTCCATTAATCGCATCTTCACCCTTCACAGACCATAAAGAGAATCTTCTGTACAATTCCAATAAATTATATCTTATTTCATTGTAACAGTAAGCGATACTTAGAAGAGATAGTGCCTGTTACTAGGTTTCAAATCTATCAAGAACTTAGTCTTATCTATAAAGTGAATTAACTTGAAAGCAGGCACCTAAAACTACAGATAAAGAGTTCAATGACAGCATGAGGAGAATACCAACATGTTTAATACAGGCCACCAATCCAACAGTTCAGGTTTCAGAGAGCATCCTCCTTTCTGTAAGGAAGAAACTGGACAGGGAGATAAGCAGACTGCTCTAAGAATAAGAGCTTATAGGGAAAGTATACTCATTAATCACTTGAGGAATGAACAGAAGCCTTCATTTACTTATACACACACTCTCCAGAAGTAAACCTGTAGAAAAGCAGACAGCTCTAGCAGGTGCCCTTAGAGACCCAGCACACACTTTCCTGATCCCTCACTCCCTCTTCTTCTCTTAGGACAACACATTAGATTGCATCTGGTTTCTACCAGCTACCCAGAGTCTCTTAAATCAGAAAACCGAACTGACTTTTGATCATCTATTAAATTAAGCAGCTGATCTTCTGCCTGGAGAAAAAGCACTAGAAGTGTATGACTAGTACTTCCAAGCTCTTCTGAAGAGAGCTAGCAACTTTGGAAAACAGCTGATCACAAAAGATATAAATACTGAATGACATATAAGCACCAGTTTATCCATGAGCACAGCTGTACCTCTTCCTTCACTCTGCAAACTACAGCCCAACACAGAACACGTAATCTAAAAGCAACTGCAAAACACTATGGCTTCATAAAGATCCATATATTTGCTTCACAGACATATTCCTTTTCAGGATGTCTCTCCTAAGTGGTCCTTCAATGTGAATCACAGCCAGACTACTTTTCCAAGACGTCCCTACAAACACACACAAAAGAAACTCCTAGTTTTGTCTTCAAATGACCAATATTCCAATCCTTCTTCAAAGCCTATACATGAATATTTATCATCTGCCCATTATTTATTTTGTAATTTAATTAACAAATGGGTGAACACTTTTGAAAACTAAAGTAAACAATGGTATCAGTGAACAGTTCACTTAGCTGCTCAAGTGGTTTAATGGCTCTCAAGATGCACTCTAGGTGCTCTCTTAAACTGCATTCCTTCTACATAATCTGCTTAAAGCTAGAAAAACATTTTAGTCCATGCTTCTTAATAGACACATTTACTGAACTGCTTTGAAAGAGAAATCCTCTATACAAAAAAAAGAATAAAACACAACAGAGTATTTAAGAAAAAAAAAACTTCCAAGTCTTCTAGCTTACCACTTCTGCAATTAAAAGAAAAAAAAAAAAAAGTGTTTTTACAGTATGAGTAATGTTAAATTAAAGATATTTGGTGTGCATATTTATCAAATACCTCAAACACAAGCGAACAGAAAATTTACATTTGAAATTCATTAATTCAAGTGAAAGTAAATTCCATGAGAAAGGAGCAGTCCAGGCAGGCTAACCAAGCCACAAGATATCCTGACAATTTAATGAAATGGAGCTGTGGTACTTAAAAAAGCAGTGGATCTGCCATAGAGAATTAATCATTTTGTAACCTGCTTCCTGCTGAGCTAATGTAAACTAAATTATTAGTTTGCTTAAATTTACACCCTTCTAAGTTGAAAAACGTGTTCTTTGAGGATCTGTTTACTAGACAGTAAGAAGAGGTCTCTAATTTCAACCACTGCAGTGAAGAAAGCCAAGTAATTCCTACATCTTTTTAATCCTAGTCAAAGTTTTTAAAGCTACTTGAGAAGAGGGCATTAGAATATGTACCTCACAGTAATACACAGAAAATAAATACACACACACACAAAACGCAAATTTAGAATCAGTTTTAAGTTGTTGGGGTCTGCTTTTTTATTAAGTACCAACATTCTTGAAGCAGATGAAAATGCAATCTGATCTTCCTGCAGAAAGCACCTTCACAACGTGCAATTCTTTAATTAACGTTGTATTTAATAGCGCACTGGCTACCAACAGTAACAGAGAATGCTCAATGAACATTTGCTTAGAACACCACCCTTGCGGCTGGCTCTGTATTCACCTCTGTACTGCAACCTCAACAGTTCTTTTTTGCTTTTGACAGCTACTAACAAGAATCCTGCCTTCAGGACATTTCACAAAAACAAAACCAAAAATGTTTATTCTTGTAACGCTATGTTTGTAGTTTTGATACTGGTGAGGAGCTTTGCAAAAAAAGAGCTTTCTAAGAAACTGTATGAGTAGTCAGCAAAGCCATGTTAGGCACATGTATTGCTTATAGTCCATGATGTTTTACTTCACCTCAAAACTCAAACTCTCTCTTCAAACATCCACGTCACCTCAGATTCAACAGCTGCCATTATTAGTCTCACTACTTGTAATCTTTAAGCACATGGAAATTGAGCAATACTTGAAAAATTATTCAGTAATTTAAAATTAATCTTATTAAAAACCTGCATTTTTTAAAAAAATCACTTTTGCAAAACACTGACATTTTTCAATATGTGAACAGTTTTAGAGTTGTGAAGAACATGTCTTCAATATACATTGCTAATAAGCAAAAGAAACCCAAGTTCAAAAACTTGCTTCCTTAAATGAAGCAACAGCTGCCATACAAACGTTAGTGAGACTTAAGGAAGGAGAAAAGGGGGGGGGGGGGAAGGGGGAAAAAAAGAGAGGGGTAGAGAACGGGGGCAGTGGAACCACAACAATTAAAAAAACCTCCAAGCAGAGAACCTCAAAAATCTGCCTCTTGCCCATGTCATCAGTTTGCTAAAAAGGATATAATAGAAACAATATACAAATATTGTTTCCCCCCCTTTTTCTTAAGGCACTTTTTTGTTAAATCAAACTGCAGTTCCCATACACTAACACTTAATAAACGGAGGGGGAAAAAATTAATTTATCTAAGAACATTAAACAAAATTATATAAAGGTAAGTAAAACAATTTAACCATACACAATTTCCCTTTGAAAAAAACAACTGTAATTAATGTCAGGTCAAGTAAAATATCAGAAGTAATGCCAGTGGTTTTGAGATTGAATTTCCTTACCTTGGCCCTCTGAGGGCAGTGTTACCTAACACACGATTAGAAGCATCAGCAGACTATTTGATTAAGTCAGTAGACACTACTAAATGAAAAGTACTTCTGTTAAATATTTACTTCTGATTTCATGATAACAAACTTGCAATACAATTTAAATCTATTGTTAAAAAAAAATGTTTAGAAAACCTGAAAAGTATACCTGTCCTCATGATTCAATACAGGTCTTTCAATGTAATGTAAATATGTAACTATGCATCATGCAAAATGTTTGACAAAATATTACTGCATGCCAAATAAATAAATAAAACTTATTTTTCCTAACATGCCTTAGCATTTTAGAGATATTTTTACTATATGCCCCCTCCCAAGTATTTACCGGCAGTTCAAAGCAAAGCAGAATTTGGAACTGACACATTCTGATTCTTTTATACTGTGAGACAGTGATTATTTATTTATACTAACTGTTTTCCCACAGTTCCTAGTAAAGCTAAATGACATTTTGAGTACATCTGTACTTTAGATTTTTCCAGTCACAACTGGGAAATAGAAAATATTTCATACTATGTGTGGGCACCAGCTTATACCACAGACAAGCTTCCATTGAGTTTCCTGCACACTGGGCAACTAAGGTGAGAAAGTTCAAGCACCCTTCACTGTCCATGACATCACACAGTCGAGTGCAGATATCAA